GGGGGGGGGGGGGGGGGGGGGGGGGGGGGTCATCATGCCTGTGCAGAAGTGCAAACACATCCAGACTTGGTGAATTAGGAACTGAACTGCTGTACTTCACTCTTCACTGCCTCTGTGATTCTGCATCTGCTGACTGTTAAAAATCAGTCTGTACCAACACAAGATTTTACAGGACAAGAAAATAAAACTTTACATAAAACTAACTTTTCTTCTTTAAAGGGCACTATTAGATGAAAGTATTCCTCGGAGAAATGTGTACCATCTGCATTTCATAGCAGAATTTTAGAACATCTTATGTTGAGAAATGACAGAGCCGTGATCAGTTTTGTCCAATGTTAAATGTTTTGTGTGATTTAAAGCTCAGAATACGTGCTGTAACTGTGTTGTAAGAGTTGTAGCTATTTTTGTATTAAAATTGATTAGCTGTTGCAGCCATCTAGAGTTGGGTGCTCCAGCAGGTAATCATTTGTAGATGTACAGCCAGTTAATTTACAAGAACCTGAAAGTTTCGTTAAAATCCATCAAGTGGCTATATTTTGCAGACAGTTGACTAAGTTAACCAGTCGTAGATTTACATATTAAGTTTTCCTGAAATTTTCATTAAAATGTGACCAGGGGTTAGTAAAATATTTTGCTAACAGACTCCAAATAATTGATGCCAAATTTAAACTGAGATGTGTAAAAATCTTTCCGTGCTCAGAGTACGAGTTATGGATCAGTCTCAGCTACCACAATACCAAAGCACAGGTCGATGTCTGAACAATTCCCAGTGTTGAAGCCGTTTTGGTGCTTTTGAAGGTCAGTTGTCTGTGACAGCCATCTTGTAATGGATTGAGTCTCAAAGTTAATTAGAGACAGATTTGCATTCAGTAATAACTTCCTGCAAGTTTCATTAATATTTCTCCAGTGGTTCATGAGATAGTGTGCTAACAGACACAGGAACTCAGTGGCGAACACGTTGACCAGTCACTTTCTCACAAATACTTGGGTTTCCTTTATTTCCCAACATGATTTTCAGGTGTCATGTCATATTTTGACCACCAGGTGGTGCTGTAGTAAAAGATCAATCATTAAACTGATCAAACTATACAAGTAACTGAGGAACAGATCCGTGGTTGTCATTGAGGAGGTTAAAAAAAAACACCTCAAATTTAAAAGAAGTGTTTTGCCTGAAGAATCACCTGGTTTTACCAGGAAGAAGATGGTGTGGTATGAACAAAAACGTGTCCGATTAAAACTGCCCCGCCCCCTCCGGAGGAGCRGGAGCCAATCAGGAGCTGCGCCTCGGTGTCCATGTTGGCGTGCAGAAGGGCGTGTTGGCTGTATTTAAACCGTGAGCTTTGCACAGATTACACACACAGACGTGTCTTACCTGAGGACGTTCACAGCTCAGCACTCCTGCTCCAGGTCAGAAATATTTACTGCTTTCTTCAATTCAATAAACGTTATAATTCAGCCGTGTATAGATCATTTTAATAAAACAAAGGCTCCAGGGTTTGTTAGGTGTTACGCAGCATTTTGTTTTCCTCTTTTACTGTAGGCCTTAAAATCAGGTTTGATCCTGCATGCACACTGGTTCTTGCACACTTCCTGCCTCTGCCTGTGGAGCCTGATTAGTGGGGTCGTGTCAGCCCAGAGTCCCAGCATGTTGTGCACAGGAGTGTGATCAGTGTTTTCACCTTTCACTTTTCCTATTGCAGTGCTTGGCTATTAAAAACACCTATAACCTTGTCCAACCTCTGGAAATGTAGATAAGATAAAACATACGTCAGCTTCAGTTGAACAGAAAATGTTTAACTTTCTTTTTCAGTTCACACTGTTCATGTTTTCCAATAACGGTGCAAAAAATGCAAATTAATATTCCACTCTAACATGTTCTCACCTATCTGGTTTAACCTGTAAATATGCTAACACAACAGTGTAGGGTAAACCAGTGTGAGAAACTGGATATGTTAAAAAAAGGACWCTGATTCCACCTCTGAGGTGGGGCTCAGTTTGGTGTGTACCTGTGTGGGCACGCTCAGAGACTTCATGCATTCTTCACGGGTTCTGTCTGTCAGTTCTTAACTTTTTTTTTTTAATCTGATTGATTTTTTTTCTCTTGTTCTAACAGAAATCAGCCAATATGAGTGACGCCAACCCAGTCAACGAGGAAGTGGAGCACTTTAACAAGAAGCAGCTCAAGAAGACGAACACGCAAGAGAAAAACCATCTCCCAACCAAGGAGGGTAGGTGTTGAGGAGGGGAGGGGATCGTGCACAAAGCATAGCTCTGTCTTGTCCACACCTGTTTCACATTGTACCCTTTTTTTTTTTTTTCAAACGACGCCACTCCTCCTTTCGTATCATAAGGCAAACATTGCATCACAGATTAAACGATGGTACACTCCCAGTTACCTGAGGAGATTTTTGCAGCTACCGTGAACTACATGGCTGAAGGAATTTTAAGAAGCTGCCTTTTTTTTTATTTTTAGGACCATGACTGGAAAATCAAGTTTTTAATCTGATTCAGCGTTTGACAAAAACTCCAGCTGATAACAGAGAGTGGTGGGGGTAGGGTGGGGGGATTATCGGAATCATTCTGATCTTTAAAAAGTCAAGTTCTGTGGAAAGATTGTGAACATTGACTATCTTGCATGTTTTTGCCATCTCCTTTTTTAGAAAAACCAGTTTGGAAACCATTTAGTTGTCTGAGGGAGGCTAATAAGATTAAGTGGGTTGTTGTTGTTTAAATTACTTCAAGCTTCAAATATTTCCTAACGGTTTGAACACAATTTTTAAACTGTGCACCACTGTCACGTTTGCATTATCTAGTTTAATATTTAACTAAATTAGTATTTTTGTAGTTGTTTGCAAATAAAGGCTCTGTCCCAATACTCTCACTCACACCCTTGTGCACTTCAAATGTGCGTTCATGATGAAGGGTTTGAGTGCATAGTGGGTCCCACGATCTCCACATCCGCCCTTGGCCCCGCCCATTTTGGGTACTATTTCCACCTTTGCGCGAAGTCCACATTTTTACGGGCTTCGGCGAAGTGTATTACCCACAACTCATTGATGTGTGTGACGTTTTGAATTAAAATGCAGAAACCTGGCAGTGTTCACTGAGCACCTTCCAGTTTAGTGGTGGCAGTAATGCACTGAAATTACCCTGCTAACCACCAATGAAGGCAAAAGAAGAAGGTAGTTCTCATACTCTGATGGATACGCCTCCTTTTGTTTTATGCGCTTTCTTCTCCTAAAAACGTACTTTTTTTTTTTTTTTTTAGCAATACAAATGCCAAAACAAGTGACTGGTTCTGCCATGTTGGATGTCACAGTTAAGATGCAGAGGCGCAAGTCGATGATGTAATCCGTACTGTCACAATTTTTTTTTTTCTCACGCTTGTAACCTGCACACTCAAACACTTATGTCTTCGACTGAATCCACACTTCACAGATGGGTGCRCACTGAGCGTTGGGACTAGGCCAAAGAATGACGGCAGCAGCTATCTGTAGCGCTCCTGGTGCACCTATGGCATTAGAAGTGCCTTAGGTGCTTATCAAAATAATTGAATGTAAAGCTTTAGAAATCAGTTTTCATGAGCTGCTATGACATGTTGTTATTATTGTTGTTATTTGTGCCTCTGATAGCTGTCTAAAGCTGAAAATGCACACTGGTGCATAGAATAAATTATTTGTGTAATTTACTCCGTACAAAACTTGTTTTTACTATCCAAAGCCTGAAATGGTTCTGTGTGGGAGTGCAGTCCTTTGTGTGTACCTGGTTAAATAACGATATAATAAAATGCCTGAGGAGAAAATTTTATAAGACTTATGACTGAACTCAAGACATTTCTGTCAAAGCTTGTGTATTGTACAGAAACTAATTAAAACTTACTAGCATTTCAAGACGTGAGGTTTGTTCACAACTTTTAAGCCATTTGTGCAAAAGTTCTTTTTAAATCCAGAGTTCCTTTTTTTTTTTTTAAAGCATGATCTCTATTTTTTAATAAATATTTTGCGTTAATCATATCTATATATTACACTTTTTGTTTTCTATACTGTCTAATGAAAAGTGTCAAATCATATGATGTCAGTTGTTGACTTCATCTCCTGAAATGTACTTTTGGAGTCTGTGTCTTGACAGTGATAAAAGTAAAGTTTTCACTTGTATGATTTGAATTTTAACATGTTCTCCTGTCATCCAACAGAAATCGAGGAGGAGAAGAAAGCCATGAAAGATGGGAAATGAAATCTTGTCTGCAATGATTCTTCTTCTTCTGCCCTGCTCYGGTCACCGGCTCATCTTCCAATGAGTCCTGTCATTTCCACATCTGATCTTTGTGCCACCGTGGTTTTAAAGGTTGTTATGGGAGAGAATACTAACAATGATCTGTATACAACAAMGCAAAGGAAACATCAATCAAATGTTTTAAACACTTAAATGTCAGAACATGATAAAAATCTTGGTGGAAGTTTAAATCAAAGCTATGCCTGTAAATGGTGCCGTCTAACCATGTTGTGAAAAATAAGACAAATGGATCATATTTTTGTTTTAATAAAATAAACATGTTGGATGTATTTTTGAGGKTTTTTTTTTTTAATCCTCCATCTCCAATTGAAATGATTTTACAAGATCAGGCCTGCAAAAAATAAATTACAATGTTTATTTAAACTCCAAAGATATGGTGTTTTAGGTATAGATTACGCTCAATTAAGTTTGAAATGTAGCATTCACACTTTTTCAAGTTCKTTTGTTTTTGGAATAATGCATTTTCACTGACTGGCAAAACAAACAATTCTTGTTCCACTGCTAGTGTGGGACTTTCTTGAAATAGATGGATATCACCCTCTTCAGTGACAGCCCATTTATCTCTCAGAATATGCTTTTTTTTTTTTTTTTTTTTAAGGATTGCTTAAGGTACTGCAAGCTTTTTCATAACAGACCTGCTGAGACATGTTTTTACTGCAATCTGCAAAAATGTTCATGCATTAAAAACAGAGATTGGTTGGATTTGAGTTCTCGTGATCCTCCAGGATTGTTTTGTGCTGATGTCATAACAATTATGTTGGTGAAAGACATGCGACCCTCAGAGGACATCCCAATGACAACAGGTGATTGTGATGTGAATTTGCAGAAACAAGATCTGTCACATGTTAAACAGGTAAGTGCACATGTCAATAGATGGCATCCAAAAACCATACAGCAGACTAATTTTTATACAGGAACCTGTGAACGCAGTTATAAAAGGTTTAATCTGTCAAATTACAAGGGAAGTTTTGAGACATTTCCCCTCAATTGGCGATAATTGTTTTCTGTATATGAGGTGCAGAARTGTTTTAATGTTTGATTTCTTGACTGTATAAATTTTCTTGGATTCATAATTCTGATTATTGGAAAATGTTGGAATATTTGCACGCTGTAACGCAGAGAACATTTGGCACATTTTTAATGTACAACCCACACTCGGCTCTACTGCGGATCCCACAAAGGCATGTTCCTTACAAATGGAGCCCCATTTAAAAGGGAAACTAAGAGGCCTTCCAACAGTACAAGATTTATTGCCAAGAAACATTGTTACTTCAAAGAAATAATCTACCAAACACATTTTCTTTCTTTTATAATTTTTTTATCCTATTTTAGGTTGTTAAAGTTTTTGATTGTTTTTGTAAATTAAAAAAATAGAACAAGTTTTGTCTTTGAAATAGTTTGTAAGTAGCTAAGTACATCAAATTATTTGTAAAAAAAAAAAAATCAAAGCCAAAAGGTAGGCATTTATGTTTTTGTCTGTCTTTTCTCATGAACCACTTCGTGTATTTCACTGACACTCTGGAAAAAACCACTGGATGTACTTGTTCTTGAGTGTCTTGTACTCTGGGACATCTAGCAACATTRCATGAAACTGCAAATACGGTTATTTTGAAGTCTAAATTTTCTTGATATAAGATAATTAACTCTGGCATGATAGGCAGGTGGGTGACATGCGGTCGGCCAAAGATTTTTTTTCCCTCCCTGTAGGCTTTATGTAGTGTGCACAATACAAGTTTAGAGTCTTAAAGAGTCTTTTGAACAACTGTTTAGTAATATTAACTGGCATGAAGTCATAATTAGTAGCAATATTGAAGAGGCGTGGTCACTGTTAAAAAATAAATTCCTGGAGGCTCTAGACAAAATCGCTCCCTTAAAACTAGTACGTATAAAACAAAACACAGATCCCTGGATGACGGGTGAAGTTCTCCACCTAATTCACCAGAGGAAACATACTTTCAGTCAGTTCAGAAAAACTAAGAACCAAGAATGGTATGACAAATATGTATCACTGGTTCAATCTAAAGAAGTCCCAGGCTAAATCAAACTATTTTGTGAACAAGATGGAAGAATGTAAAAACCAGCCAAAAAAAACAACTATGGAATATACTAGAAAGCCTTGGGCACCTCCTCTAACATAAAAACATCCAACACCAACATTGGCCTCAAAATAGAAAATGATTTATGCTTTGACAAGCACAAGGTGGCTGAAAACTTACAGGTACTTCTCCACTGTTGCTTCCTCTCTACTAAAAAAATTAACCATGAGAATTGGGAGGTTTGGCCCGACCTACATAAAGCAATTCTACAGCAAATGGATAAACTCAGGTGTTTCATTTGTATTCAGACACATAACAGAGGACACTGTCCTCAAAAACCTTCAAAATCTAAACCCAAACAAGACAACTGGACCAGACCAAACACCCACCAGATTCATTAAAGATGGCACCATGTACCTCACCTCCCCACTGACRCATCATAAATTTGTTTCTGTCAACAGGTAGTATCCCTTCCAAACTTAAATATGCTAAAATTACCCCTATTCACAAAAAGAGCAGTAAAACTGAAGTTAGCAACTATCGTCCCGTCTCARTTCTCAGTGTTGTCAGCAAACTGATTGAGAAAACAGTCTATGAGCAGCTCAACCAATATCTCACAGATCACAAACTTTTATATGAGCTCCAGTCCGGTTTCAGAMCCTCTCATTCTACAGACACATGGTTMATTTACMTCACTGATTTTTATCAAGKCAGAGCAAGATAAAGGCAAMCTCACAKGTATGGTCCKTCTCRACTTACAAAACACCTTTGACACAGTGGATCACAGTATTCTCTTATGAAAATTGGAAGCCCTGGGGCTCCAGAAACCAGCTGTAAACTGGTTCAAGGACTACCTACAGCAGGTAAAATAGGTATTGAACACGTCACCATTTTTCTCAGTACAGGTAAATATATTACTAGAGGTGCTA